TATATATATATATATATATATATTATTTTTTTATTTAATATTTATAATTCCAAAAATCAACATTTAAATTTTGAGAAAATAAATTAGTATAGAAGAAAGACAATGCTTGCATTAGATATATAAAATAACAACTTTACAAGATGTACACAATATAAATATATTTAATATATACACAATTGTTAGGACATTTTAAGATAAAAAGAAAAGATTATCACAAAAGAAAGATTATCACATAGATTGTCACATAAAACTTCTCACAATTTCTTTATTAGATTTTATTATAAGATAAAAATATGTAAAAGGATATTAATTATAAAATATATGTAAAACTGTTTGTTAAATTTAATTGTTTACAACCCGTATATTATTTAAAAGTAAATATTCCTACAACATATATAAAACCATAAACAAATTTTATTATTCACATAATCGGTTTTAACATTATAAAATATAAAAACCATATGACTCCTAACTGATATATTGATAAAGTAATTGCTAGTGTAAAACACACATTGCAACTTAATAATAGAATTATACCTACATTTTAAAATTGTGATTTCAAATTAAAGCATTAATTAACAATGCAGGAAAATTAACTTCGCTATAATATAGATATCATAATATAACGCATAAAATTATGAATTAAATCTCACAAAATTAAAAATACACAAATCTTAAAAAAGTAATAGCACATGATATCTCATGTATCAAGATACCTTTGGTTTTCAACAATCTTTTAAAAATAAATTATATATGATCAAATGTTTTTAACACTTTTATGTAATCATATGTGTTATTAAATGTATTATGTTGATCGTTTTTCTTTTGTCAGCATCAGTTAACTCTATAATAAATGTTAATAATGAAAATTTAAAGTTTAAATTATCAAGAAATATCATTACAATACTACATCTAATAAACGCTTGCCTTTATTAGATGTGTGAACAAACTACTTTTTAATAAACGACCAAAATATACATCACTTACAAGGTACATCTTGTCTTCAGTTATATAGGATATTAATTATAAATCTAGTTGTGTAATATTGCTTGTGTAATTCTAATGTTTTATATAATATTACAGTTAATAGACAATATAAAAACATCAAGAAAGCATATTAAAAATTTAATTTGATTAATTTAAATATTGATGTAAAACAAAAAGTGTATTCTGTGATGTTTGGATTATAAAATTCATAAAATATTAGTATTACACAAACTATACATAAATACAGTAAAATATGAATATTTTGCATATAAAAATAACGGACTATCTGTATCCTTAGTCGCTAATTTTATGCGCACTTATGGATACATTAATATGCTAACTGTTAAAAGTAAAATCTGATTATATATATTAAATATTATTGTAGCATATATATAATTTCCTGCATCGGTAATTAATTAAATGTAATTGGAAATAAAACAGATATAATTATGTCTAATATTAATTTTTATATTAGTCCGTTTTGTTCATATACAATACTTTTACTTTTTTTATTCATATATAATATATATCAGATTACATTGATTAAACGTTTTTTTTACATAGTTTAGAGAAACTTCAGAGTCCTGAGCCTTTCTTAAACAGTCTGTACATTATCTTCTTTAGACAAAAAATAATATGAATAATTTGTTTACTATTTTCTATTGCAGTAGCTCTTTTTTTTTATTCCTTTCAATTTAGAATGTGTACCATGCTGTATCAAAGTATGGAGTTCTAAACCTGTTCTATTCGAGAATAATTTGCCGCAAAAATGACATGCATTATGCTTATGATTATTCATATGACGTCGGAAAGTTTTAAGTTTCACGAATCTCAAACATATGCTACAAGTTATTAGATTATCGGCTTCTTTCGCATGTATCGTTGATGTATGATAAGAGAGATTTCTTTTCAGCGTATAAGCTTTTTTACATCTATGACAGGGATAGCCGAAACCTAGATGATAACCTTCGTGTAAAATTTTCACTGAAATAGACATCTTTTTATTACAAAATCTACAAAACGAATCATTGTGCTCTCTATGAAAATGATGTAGTCGTGCTTTATCAGTCGTGAATCGTTCGGTGCATTGGTAACAATGATAAGCATTATCAAAATGTTTGACTTTTATATGCTTGTCGTAGTCGCTATAATTATTTAGTATATCTTTACAATAAAAACACACTAATTGTAATGAAAATTCATCGAATGTTTTTCCCTCTTTAACAGTACATTCGTGATTATCGTATGAATTGATCATGTCAAACTCTTCATCACAATATCCACATGCCGATAATGGATCAAATGTACCAACTTTTATTCCATCGTATGAATAATCGAACTCTTTTTTGGTACTTTGACGACGTCTATCTGAAGATCTTAATGCTCTCTTATTTTCCTGATGCATTTCCTGATGTACATCTTGATTTTTATCATTAATCTGGTTGTTTTCTTGAGTTTTGTTTCCTACTGCATCGATTTTGGGCTTCTCAAGAACGTCAAGAACTTCTTGACACATTTCTCTCAAAGTACAGACTTGATCAAAAACTGGTTGTTTCTTCACATTCTTCTTATTCTTATCTTGCTGCTTTGATGAACACTTTTTATCATCTTCTTGCATAACTACTTGTCGCGCTGTATTATTCTTATCAACATCAATTTGTACATCATCTTCGATGTCGATGATCACATCTTCTTCTGTAACCTGTAACTTCAAAATGCTATGATCTTTACTATAATTAGATGATTTGGACGAATCTAATTCTTCTTGTGTAGTCGATGCATCAGTACTTTTGAGAATAGAATTGAACGTGTCAGGTATATTAGATGAAACATCTCCATCGACAGGAATAGATTCTTGGAGTGCATTTTCATTATCATTATCTTTACCAACTATCTCGTAGGAATCATTTCGTTTCTTAATTGTTATGCTAATACCGTTTGTAGAATCTCTATCATCACTCAGCTGTTCTAGTTGATCTTCCTGCATACATAATTTACATTTTTCTTTATGAACAAATAAAGTATGAGGATTTCGAAATGATCTTCCACATATGCAAGTAGTTTCATTGCTATTTCTTCTTCTTCTTGTTCCGTTGTAATGAGCTATTCGATTATCGTCAGAAGTCTTGCTGTTTTGACCTAACAATGTCTTGGACTTGGAATTATTTATATCATTACTAATATTGTTTACAGTGGTATCAGTTGAAGATTTCAATAATTTATATCTCTTATTTAATGGCGAATTAAGATATCTACATTTAAACTTATGAAAATTTTCTTTAGTTTCTCCACGATAAAGATGATTGCGTTTATGTTTGTACAAACTATGAGCAGATGAATACATTCCTAAGCAAATGTCACATTTGTATGATGTAACATTTAAATTAAACTTTTGTTGCGCAGTAGTAGGCATATTACTAACAAATGAACGCTCATTGTCCAACTTCAGTCTTTTGGTAGTATTTAGGTAGAATGATATATTGTGTTGTTTTCTCTTGACTGAAGATGTTTTACTAGTATTTTCTTCATTACGTGTCGTACTAGGAAGTTCACCGGACAATATATTTTTTAATGTAGTTTTCTTATTTTTAGGTAATTTTTTATTTTCAATTATTAACGACGATTCTAACTGTTCCATCATACTTGAAGAACCACCAATTTTGTGATAATGAGTCAAATGTTTTCTTATAGACATTACTTTTTGTTGACATAACGCACAACGAACAAATCGTTTCGATAGAGTAGATTGTTGAGCAATACTTTCCACACTCTTAAGTTTTGTTTCTGCAGTAATCTTTCTATATGAATCTGTGTTATAATCACGTTTTTTCGAATTATCACTTTTTTCGCTAGCGACCGAATTGATATCGTTCAAATTCCTTTTAGGAATTAAAATCTTATTAGCACGTTTATATTTACGTTGTAATGGGAGAATAATTCCATGTATTCTTTCTGAATGTTTTCTTAAGGACCGTCTTTCCAAATATTGTTTACCACATGTTTCACAAGGAAATAACTTCTTTGTTCTTTGAACAGAAAACTTGAAAGGTAATGGCACTATTTTATTTCTCAATGCTCGTTGATGCTTCCTATAGGATATAGGTTGTACAGCTTCATTTGAATGTTCTCCTACTTGTTCCTCTACTTGTTCCTCTACTTGTTCCTCTACTTCTGCCTGCGTTTCCTTCTCTTTTTCATTTTCATTATAATCCTCTTCAATTTTTATTGTTGTTGAGTTGTCAATTTGTACAGTCTTTATTAACTGTAATGTTTCCCAAATTTTATCACATCTTTCTAACAAAACAATTGGATTTTTTATTGTAGGTGTAGTTACCGGAATGTATAATGTTGAGGATTCATCCTGTAAAAAAATATTATTTTTTAATTTTTTTTATTGTAAAAAATTAAATGTTAAAAAAATTTTAAAAACTAGCATAAAATTTACACTACGATTAGATTTTTACAACATAATCTAAGAACAACAGATTAAATTTGGAGTTATTCTTTCATGAAACAAAATGTGAATAAAAAAATGACCTAATTTGAAAAAAAAAGTTAATAATATAACTACAATAATAACAATTTTATCACATCTATTCTCATTTTTTTTTTAAACTATTGAATGGACAGTATTATTCGAATATTATATAATAAATAAAAATATCAACATGTTTTCATCAATGTAATCAATCAATATAGCATGAAAAAAGTGGTAAAGTATGATGAATTGAATTGAACATATACCACATCCGATAAGCATGTGACACAAACATACACAGCACGAAGCACTTTGGAAAAACAATTAACAACTTCAATTTAATCTCAACTTACAAATGTTGAGAAATCCTCGATCGAATTATTTAAATTGGAGCATGGTTCTGGTTTACACTCAATTTCGAAGACGGTGAGAGGAGGCGATGGCAGTGACGCCATGCAACCGTTGTTATCGTTGTCCTCGTGGGCAATTGTTGTATCGTCGGCCATCCCGAAGCAGGATGTGATCTGCGATAAAATATTCTATGTTTCAAATCTTTAACGAACACATTGGCAAGGTTGTTGTTCATAGACTGTGCTAGCGGCCTCGACAAGTCTCAGTGGCTTCTCTATCTGCTAAACCCTGCATGTCCCTTTCTCTGCCCCTCTCAACATGATCACTAAAATGCCTTCTCCGTCTAACGTACTACGATCCCATATTGTTCTCTCTTGTTTGTACACATGTCTCTCATCCTTATTGGATAGGAGAGACTCACTTGTGCTGAGTTTCAACCCGACTCAGCATGGTTACTGGCGACCAGTGCTGGACACAATATTGACCCAAAGAGTACCTGGATTCACTTTAGGCTTATTCCTAAAAAAACTTAAAACTTTATCCTCTTGTTCACTTTGCATGTAATATTAGATAGTAGGTATTAGGTAGTTTAAGTTTTAAAAGGAGTGAAAAATATAGAAACAAAATATACATTAGATACAAGAATATAACAAAATTATTGAAATCAGTAAAATAGGGATGTTCTCCTGAATATGTGAGAACTCTTGCAATCTTATATCTTAATTGTGATATACACATTATGTGTTTTAAGTTGATAAACAACTACAATATGAGGTGTAATAGAATTCCCAAATTTTATTACAAAATATTAAAGATATGTTAGATAATTAAAATTATCATAATTCATTACACTTAATCAACATTAATCGATCCAACTAGTATCTATCTTAAGTCCTTGTCAATCGATGAATTAAAATTGTATACCAACATCGTTTCTAAACATTGATCTGAAGGAAAACCCTATGCTAGAAAGGGACATGATTGAAGGTAATCAACAACATACAATCTGATTCCTAAACACTTCCTATATTAGCATAATGGATATTTTTAATATTTTATATATTTTAATAAGATTTTCAAGAACAATTAGAAACACTTTCATCTTGACTTAATTATATATATATATTTAGATTCTTTAACTAAATAGTTTAACTATTAAATGAATTATATCATTAGACAAATTTTTCATATATTATTAATAATATTCAATAAATAAGTTTCAAAAATTTGCTTTGTAGTTTAAGCTATGCTATGTGAACTGTTAAATAAGTGTATTACTTCGGATTTTCTCTCTTTTTAGATCAAATTAATGTTATAGAGTATTGGGCCCTTACACTTATTGTTCCGCCACTGCGTTCTGATATGATTGGATAGTGTAGACTGAGATCGGACGAGTCCATGTTTATTGGGACATGTTATACATTTTGTGGAATTTTATATTCTACTTTATTTTTACGTATTTTACATGAATGTTTTCGTATTTAGGTTTACCAGAGGTTTTTGCGCAACATGATCTACAATTTATGATTGTTAGAACGCAGTCACCTGTTCCACATAGCATAACCCAAACATGTTCCTACAATATCATAGCTGTACAGGAAACATGGGATTTCTGAAATGCATATAATATCGATGCAATCTACGTTTTACGACACAAATCGATCCTGCATTGATGAGAAATATACATAACTTGCTAGAATTGTTTACCTGAAGCTTTGACGAATCCATTTATCTCGTACGCCGCTGTAGAACCATAACCCGATTTCGCTATCCGATTCCAGATTGACTAATGTTCGTTGCTTTATGTCAGACTCATGCGCACAATAAGAAATCCTTGAGAGATGGAGATGATGCGTGACTAATTAGAAGACTGAAATTTGAGAAGTATAAGAGTCAAAAATTATGGTAAAGCTGCGAACGCGGAGTGTTCTTAACCGCTCTGGACGAGTTCACTTTTGCGTCTGTCGTGCAGCACGCCAAGCTGTCTCGCCTTGTTTCAGGCAACTACGACTAATGCGTAGGGTCCGGAAATTTTTTATTGTAGAAATAGTAAAAGCGGCAAACGTACTTCGCGCTATGATTTTGCTTCTCAATTTAATTCCATCGAAGTAATATACGAAATAAAGTTGGGTAAAACGTGTCTTTATAAGTCTGCTCGGCACTCGGCATTTGTGCCAAAAATCACGTTAAACAAGTTGTAGGATGAGCAATAAATAGCTCTTGTAGCATCCCATTACCGATCTCATACAGTCAACCATTAAAATATGACTCATAGACTTCTAGATGCATGCAAAGCATCTGATTCATATTAAATCTTATATTTTTTACCTAATAATTCTGATTTTACAACAGGTATTTATACCGGAATATGTTCTAAATATCCATGCATAGGATGTGCATTAAGGCTCTTTCTGATTTTATCTCGTATATATAATCCATTTAAAAACATCTAAAATTACAATCATATTAGAATATAATACAAATTGTAATGCAATTATAATAAATAAAATGTTTATGCTCCTATTATGCAATGCTTTAACTGTAAATATTTGGTTCTTGTAGAGTAAATTGCCGTTTCTTCTGGTTTACATTGATAAAATTAAAAAAGATATAGTATTTAATAATAGTTACAATTATAATTAATTATACTTAATATGCAAAAAATATTACATTATTATTATCTTAATCCCGAATTCACAATGTAAAATTTTTGATGCACTCCATGTCAGATAATCCAGATCGGATTGTCCATATTAGAAGAAGAAATAGTTAATCTTTATAAAAAAATAATTATGATAATCGTATTAATATTCATTATAAAATTATCTCAAATCCGCGGAATAATGGCACAATTTCAATATAATTCTTAGTTTGTGATGTATGTGCTATTCTACATTATCAATTCAAAATTACATCTTAAAAATGTGCACGTAAAATAATCTTTCTAATGTTAAAACTGCGGATAAGCGTAACAGTAAAAACCCGTGTAAACTGTATAAATTGTAAATTAAAGGTGCGCAACAGTGCGCAATCAATTGATGGCCCGCTTAAGGCTGGCTGGTTCCACCTACCTGAGTAATCGCGCATAAGCGTATGTAATTTGTGTTCATACGTAACACAACACAATAGCATGATACCGCAACTTCAGGTTCGCAGAATAAGTGATTGTTCATCTTGCTGTATGTCGCGCGCATTGTACCAATATTGAATATAAGTTATATGTCGTGGAAATAACGGAGGTCAACCCATTGAGAGATTAAGATCAGGACGAACAAGGCCGATGCTGTTTGACGATATTATTCGTGCGGATCTAGCTTGATTCTTGATAAAATTGTGACACTAACGAGATTGTCATGCCATGTTACTTCCGCCGGAGGGAATATAAAGCTGCACGCGCTTCCACAATCGCACGCAGAGTAGCATTGTTTGTCCGATCGTAAAATGCGACTATTCGGTGTATTGTTGCTGTTTTTCCTTGTCTGCCAACTAACTACATCGACACCGATTTTTGATAGAGGTGGTGTACAGTGCGGACAGTTGTTTATATTAAATTGATCTAATACAGAGGAAAATAGGAATTAGTACAGGATAGTGCAGGATTGGGATTATCAACATGAAGTTGTTTAAAATGAAGTTGATAAATTAAACATACATAAGTTTTTCAAATTTTTCAAAATAGTGGATTAAAGATTGTTGCTCTGAATTTCTTTAATTATAATAAAATAGATACAATTTCTAATATCACGTAAAACTAAAACTGTGTTGTTAAATTGAGTGTGGATATTAAAGTATTTTACTAAAATTAATTTAATATCTTTAAGTGAAAATCGTGCGATATATGGAACTTACAAGTATTAAACAACATCAATAAGATTTATAATTAATATAAAATATTCAAATCCTTGAGTAAATGTAAAGACTAAAGGTACAGAGACTGAAAAACAGTTCGAAAATAGCAAACTGAAACATGTACACTGTTCAATTGCAGTGTTCTATAACGAATCCTATTATCGTAACATTTCTACACTTTGCTCAATTAAAATATTTATCGCAGATGGTGCAGGTCTTGGTGGACATCGATCAGCCGGATTTGGAGACACGATACGAGATTGGCTCAGAGTACTCAAGAATCGAGTCGTGGAAAAATGGCAAGATTGGTTCGGCAATGATAGTCCAACTCCACGTTTATCACCACAGGATATTTTAAACATCGATAAGACTTTAGAAAGTCGAATATCGAGTTATCCAGGCTTGTTCTTGGATTTGTGTAAGCAATGTTTAGTAATATGAAAGAGAACTTCTAATCAGAATACTTAGTATTTTCTTTCAATTTTTTTATTGCATTATAAAGCTGAAACACATGCCGCCCTGGATGCTAAATCATGTGTTTATGCTTCGCTACGGTACATAATTGAAAGTATTGCAATTTCAATGATTTGCATGATGCGTCATTCGCAAATGTCGTCCAAGATACGCAATTAGCATTGTGTACAGTACCAATTCTGTCGAAGACTTCCACAGTTTCTGCTTTCCGAGCAATTTTTAAATCTTGATTTAACTTTATTTTACAAATTTTTCATAGCTAGCTTATCCTTCGACTCAAATCAAGATTGGGGCGTGCGAATTGGTAACTGGTACCTCATCCGGAAAGTTACAGGGAATGACTACAACTCGGATAGTGATTCGGATGAGTGGGACATGAAACCTTTGTTGTCAAACCTTCCTGTACCTCCAATCTTGGGAATAGATTGGTCTAAAACAAACGTATTTGGGACGCCAGAAGCTCCGCAACCTCCAACGACCACGCCAAGGATTCAATCGACCACGCCAAGGATTCAATCGACCACGCCAAGGATTCAATCGACCACATCACGACCAACGACTGTTATTCCGCTTGAACCAGTCTCAACTTCTACCGAATCAATTGTGACTACTGAATCCACTGTAATTTCTACTGAACCGATTCAACTCACTACCCAGTTTATTGTAACTCCTACAGAACCGATTGTAACTTCTACGGAATCGATTTTAACGCCAACTGAAGAAATTTTAACTTCTAGCGAATCAGTTTTAATAAATAATGAATCAGTTACCGTACCTGCTGAAACAACGTTAATGTCCACTGAGCCAATTTTCATGGAATCAACTGTCCCAACCACTGTGATTTCCACTGAATTGAATGTACCGTTTACTACTATTGCCAGTGAATCAACTGTGATGTCCACTGAAGGAATTGTAAACACTACTACTACCGAGTCACCTGCAACATCCACTGAACTAACTTTACCTGTTTTAAATAAGCGAATAGAAGACAATGAGACTATTGATAAACGTACCACGAGGAAACCTCGTCCAGCATCTGCCGAAGTCATATTTTGATATGTTTCATTTCTTATAGGAAAAGGAATTCGTGTGTGGGATGTAATTCAATATGCTCAATTATCAAATATAATTCTGAAATGAGTCAGTTGTAAACATATGATAATGCAGTAATTAAGAACAACATTGGAAAGGAAATTAGGAAAAAATCGTTTAATTTGGATAATGCTTATTTTTATGCATTAAGGATGATGATGACAAAAGTGTTAATTTTGTATTATTTTTTAAACAATACTTTCATAAAGTATCAAGTAAAGTGCAACAAAAAATTTCCATCAAAAAGATTACACGTTTATTCCGTAAAACTTATCATAATTACAGCTATTTCGTGATAATAACATTTACGTTGATGTTGAATAAACAGCGCTCATCTTCATGATGTCTTGTGTTTTTACTGTAATAAAAAAAAAATTGTGTCCAAACCAATTCAATATTTATCTCTTACTTAAAATCAAACGTGCTCATACCAGAATTACATAATAATATATACACATTGCATAGAGAAGCAAAGCACACCCATATTTTTAATCAATACACAAAGCATAATCTTGTGTAATAACTGTAATGCGTTGATTAAATAAAAAATATTATATCCAACACACATACAATTTAATTCCATATTCAAATAAATCTGTTATTTAAATATTGAAAAATTTCTTTGCACTTTTAATTATATATGAATTTAGAATGTATATGACACAAAATGTAGTTTGCAATAAGATAAAATAATTTTGTTAGTACAATTGTAATTAATTGCAATAAAAGCGTTTAAAGAAAAGAGTTAATCAAATTTGGCAAGCTTTCAATTGTCAGTTTTTCTTTGTAAGAAAACACTTCCATTTATAAAATCTATAATTATTTTTTAAAAAGTTTAATTTTTTAATAATAAAAGTTTAATTTTAAATTGCGTTATTAATTATTTCATAATTTAATTATCAGTGTTAAATAATATATTAATCAAACTTTGAGTTAAATTATCAAATAGCAAAATATATATGCATGAAGATAATTGAACTCTGAGAAACTGCATAATATACAAGCATACACATATATTGATATCCAAATGTAATAATCTTAAAGGCAATCACATTGATTTTCATATATACACACAAATATATGAAATATTAATCATATAAAATATTAGAGTTGTTATTAGCAATTAGTGTTATAAATAAATTAAAACAAAATAACATAATGCTGTCATAAAAGCATTAAAAAATTATCAGCATGCTCATATAATTAATAAAAAACCAAAGTATTTTAAAACTTAAAGATTTGCATGCTGACCCTGATCAAGCATAAAGATACTGCCTCTCCAGAAATTTGTAGTGCAAATGATGATCATTTGTCTACTTCCTTCCCTAGAACGTGAATAATAAGCGTATACCACCGTAGCATGCATAACAGAAAAATGATACAAAAAGTAATTTTATTTTTGAATTTCCCATGACATCATTATTAAATTAATTCATAGTATGCACAGTAAAAAAAATATATTTTTTTTATCAATTTCATTATTTGCTTACATAAAAAAGATGTCATATATTATATACACAATTATTTTAAAAAATCTGATTATAAAAAAACAAAAAATATTTTAAACTATTGAAATTTTAGGAGTCTATTAAATATTTCTTTAAAAAAAAATAAATTTTATCAATAATTACAGTTATTTGTTGTATAATATAAAAAATGTAATTGTTATGTGCATTAAATTGTAAAAAATATTCATTAATGTATCAACTATCTGATTTTACTAAATAATAAATTAAAATTAAAATTACCTGAATGAAAATACAGAAATTCTCATATCACAGATAGAATACATAATTTAAAGCCAATTATAATTTTGACGTAACATTTAAGCCAAAGCCGGTAATTTAAAAGAACTAATTGTTTCATGCATAAAATAAGTTAAATATAGTATTGAGAAGCATGAGTAATAAGAAAGAATGAAGAATTTTTTAATAAAATTATAACATTAACATTCAAGTAATAGAGCAATAAATATATTGTCTTTTGCTGATATAAATATTATATTAGTTTGCCTACCTTCTTAGATGCTGCTCCAACTTTGCTCTTCTTAGTACCTCTGACTTTCTTCATTCTGTTCTTACGTTCTTTACGCTGCTTTCTGGTTTGTTTCTGTTTCTCAAAGAGACCATGCCTTGCTAACCTATATTTAGGTTCAAATTTCTTTGCATAATCCAAAGTATCATAGATAAGCGCAAATCCAGTAGATTTGCCTCCACCAAAATTGGTTTGAAAGCCAAACACAAAGACAACATCTGGGGTTACTTTGTACATTTTGGCTAGCTTCTCACGTATTTCAGTTTTGCGAACTGATGGTTGGCCAGGATGAATTACATCCACAACCTGTAAAGAAAATTTATACACAAAATTGTATATATATCATTATTAATAGCATGTTCAATATGAACTCTTAATTAGACAATAAATATGAAAATTGCAGATATTGCTCATACACTTACCATTTGTTTTCGGCATAGAAGCCGATTAGTCATGAACTTCCTTGTTCTGATAGTAGCTGTACCTTCCGTCTATAATCAAAACATGAGTTAGGTTATTTGTTGACAAATATTTTAAACATATCAAATTAGATCGGAGAATACTACAAATTTTATTAATAAACAATGTGAATTCCAAGTAACAATTTATTAAATTATTATTGCTTTAAAACTTTTCCAAGATTATAAATGTGTATTTAAATTAGGTTATGTCTTGCAGCACATTTGTACTGATTTTGACAACTTCAATTAACATTTTTTAAATGTCATACATATGATATGCACTTTATTAGAAATTATTGTCAAGTATTTAATTAAACACTGCACGTTTTATTCGACGATTAATGTAAAATTTCTCGATATAAATTACGCACCATCCTGCTGAATTATCGTACCGCTTGGGAAAAGAAACGCGTGAGGCTATGTATCGCCATCTACAGTGATGTGTCCTAAAGATTGTGTGCCTGACGTCACATCCGTCACACTTTTTAAAATAGTAAAAATCAAATATTCTCAATTTTCCATTCATTACAATTTAAACAATCTAAAATTATTATTATATCTTAAGAAAATAATTTATCGCAATTGTTTCGTATACATCAATAGATTTATAGATCAATTTATATTTTCTTTACAATTGTTTTTCCAATTTAGAAAAAAATTGCTGAAAAAACCAGTTTGTATTAAAAAATAATAAGATGTTTTTTTTTAATTATAATATATAAACGATATAAACACAAACTATTATCAACCTTGTAACTTTGTTACCAGCAAGACGAGTGGATCGATTGAGTTTCCTAAAAAGACCGACATCGTGCACTTGGCGCTATCGACGTCGTTGGAGACGGCTGATTGGTGCTCAGTCGGCTAACGTTGATCACTGCTTCTCTAGGAAATTTCGAGAACGAATACAAACGGTAATATTGGTGGGAGACGTGGTTGCTTAGCTCAGTTCATAAAGCGTTTATCGTGCGCACACTGAGGAGAGAGCGGCCGTGGTGCTGAACGTGCGTGGTCATTCTTCACGAGCAACGATTTTCGCGTCGTCATCTACGTAGGTGAGTTTTCGCATACGGCTGCGGATTCCGATTTTTTATAGATAGATAGATCCACCCATGACGGACGGACATGGATGAGAGTCGCACGATCGATCAGTAGTCCTTCGCGATTTTTTTCCTGTATCGCGGTCCCGACTGAGTACGAGGCGTAGACATTTCCGAACTTCTCCGAACAACCGCCGTTGCCATCTTATAGTCTCATCGCGATTTCTCGTGATCTAGATGTGTAACAGTTTTCCGAATAGACAGGGGGGGGTTTAGCGGACAACCGAAGGTTGCAGCGATATATTCGCGAGTGCGTGCAAGCCTGCGTAAGCGTGAACATCGGACGTTGCAAAACGAGGAATTTTTGAAAGTCAAGCTGATCACTAGGCGAGTACTTGCGTCATGATAGCGAGAAAAAAAATGGTGGAAATCAGTAACCTGCTAAGCTCGCCTGTCTGTGTGTTTGCCTAACTCGATCGCGTCATAACTTAATAAAGTGAAACATCCGTCGAGTCGAAGCGTTTGTCATTTACGCGCATACCGACGGTACGCGTTATCTATCTTTCTGATATCGTGAACTTGTGAGTGTTCAACAACTCGCTCTGAGTCGGGCAGATTTCTTGCAAGCTATTTGGCAAACTGCGCTTTGTTATACGATATACTGATTTCGTTTCTCGGTGCGATAGCCATGTGCTTGATAGATTTATACAATACCAGAAAGATCTAGAAAGCGCGGAGTCTTTGTTCGTGCAGCGGCCATGAAACGCGCCACGCTATGAAGTCGCACTTTAATTTCTTCGTTCGCTAATCTATTTAATCGTATATATTCTCAGCCCTACCGTAGACGCCATTTTGAAACTCACAAATCCGCATGGATATTATATTCGACGAATTTACAGGCAAGCCTACGATTTTAGCTTTGGCATGTCGTGCTCCGAAAATTGCACAGAAAAACTTGCACGATGTTGCAGACTTGTCAGTTGCAATAGCAATTAAAAGAAAATAAGTAAATTTTTGTATTCATATAATTCTCCGATTTTTACATTTTTATTATTCTTGTTGAATATAACAGTAAGAAATTTTTTATTTGAAATTTAAGGTTGCACAGAAATTTTCTGAAAATTCCTTTTTTTAACAGATACTATGCAATACCATGTCGAAACTATTATCTAATCTAAATAAGTTTTTTAGGGTGTAACGTAATTAAGTCAGAATGTACAGTCGTTATGTATTTATCAAAATCTGACCATATTTGAATTAGCTTATGTCATACAATGAGTTTCGATTGATTATACAACATCACAAGATTAATACAGAGCTCAAAGTTTATGAATTAATTATGATCTAAATGGCTAGCTGCAACATACTCGAATACAGTTTTTGGTCATATGTATGACTCATTGCTATGCTGTTGTAATATCAAGCTGTTATTTCATAAATATAATGAATGAAATAGATATAGTTTTACTGTGTTTTTTATGTTATTCTATCGACAGATTAGATAGGAACATTTGTGTTTGATTGACAGATTATGTACATATGCATTATTCTTTCAATAAATACAAAACATATATTTTAAGCATTTGTATCAACGAGGAAAATTTTATATGATGCAATAATTAATATTTTTCAGTGTCAAATATTGAAGAATTTATTACAATAACTTTTTTTTTCATTTTTTATCAACAGGAACAGGAGTATTTAATATAATACAGAATATTTAATATACTGTGAAAATGGTGAAGGAGACAACATTTTATGACGTATTGGGCGTAAAGCCTGGATGTACGCAGGAAGATTTGAAGAAGGCCTATAGAAAACTTGCTTTGAAATATCATCCTGACAAGAATCCTAATGAGGGCGAAAGGGTTTGTGTCGATCTTGATTAAAATATTTGTTAATTACATACAATAAAATAAAATTTTCTAAGACTTTGTATGTATGTTATAGTTTAAACAAATTTCTCAAGCGTACGAGGTGTTATCAAATCCTGAGAAGAAGCGAATCTATGATCAAGGTGGTGAACAAGCTTTGAAGGAAGGTAGTATGGGCAACAGTGGCTTCTCCTCTCCAATGGACATATTTGATATGTTCTTTGGTGGAGCATTTAATAATCGAGGTAGAAATAGGAGAGATCGCAGAGGTCAAGACGTCATGCATCAACTATCAGTTTCTTTGGAAGAACTTTACAAGGGAACTGTGCGTAAACTCGCTTTGCAAAAGAACGTTATCTGCGAAAAATGCGAAGGTAACTCTTGTAATAGTAAAAAGATATATTTGTATTTGTAGAAAAAATAATCTTTGTTTTTTAATTAGGTATTGGTGGAAAGAAGGGTTCTGTTGAACAATGTTCGACATGCCATGGTTCTGGTCTGCAAGTACAAATTCAGCAATTAGGTCCAGGAATGCTGCAACATTTACAAACGATGTGCACGGACTGTAAGGGCCAGGGGGAACGCATCAATCCCCGTGACCGTTGCAAGCATTGCAATGGAAGAAAGACTATTAGAGATAGGAAAATTCTTGAAGTCCATGTTGATCCGGGCATGGTAGATGGACAAAAAATTGTTTTTACTGGCGAAGGTGATCAAGAACCAGATCTCGAGCCTGGTGATATAGTTATTTTGCTTGAAGAAAAGGAACATGAAGTATTCAAGTTAGTACTATTATAAATTAAATAATTATATCGCAATTTATCGATCATGTAAGTGACTATTATATTGCGATTAATTAATTTTCAGGCGTTCAAGGAATGATTTGATTATGCGGATGCAACTAGAACTTGTAGAGGCATTATGTGGATTCCAGAAAGTTATCCGCAGTTTGGACGGTAGAGATCTATTGATAACTGCGCTTCCTGGTACCGTAACAAAACATGGAGATTTGAAATGCATCTTGAACGAGGGCATGCCGATTTACAAAGATCCGTTTACACATGGCAGACTTATAATACAATTTATAGTCAATTTCCCGAAAAGCATAGATCCGTCGGTTATCTCGACATTGGAGCAATGTCTGCCGCCGAGAGAGCCAGTTATGATTACCGACAACGCGGAAGAATGCTTACTCACCGATTTAGATCCTGAGCAGGAGCACAGGCGGAGAGACACGAAACCGGTGTACGAGGAGGATGAAGGCGGCCCATCACGAGTCCAATGTGCCACACATTAATTTGATCACATCAATCCTGTAATAAACATAGCCATTTCTTTCATTTCGAACTCTGTCCCATTTGCTCGACTCTGGTATCATGCTAAAGAAAGACATAACATAGTTGGATATATAGGCGTTGCAATGAGTGAAGAAAGAAAGCGAAACAGCTCATGTCTGGATATATGCGCAGAATTGTGAGTACTATAGTTATTGATTTCTTGAATATCTTTATGTGAAGCTCATACAACTTGCGATTTGCAAGCAAAATAACCACTGTCATCAATATCTGTTTGTAATGTAAGAGGTAAATCCATTATTATTTTGGAAATATACTGAAAGTACATTGCAAATTCTGGCGAAGCGTCTCGATAAGATCCATTAGTTTCCTTTAAGTAGAAGATCATTAAAAATATGTACTTATCATTATACGGTGATAAGGAAAATTAAATTTACTTAGCAATTTAACGTAACATTTTATGATGTCAATCATAAATTACATCATAATGAAATGCATCATATATCCTTGAACATCGCGATTATTCTCCGCTATTTGACCAATAATATCACTCCAGTAATTAAGCTAGCAGCTCAGCATTGACATATTACATGGCTAAAAATAGAGAGTAAAATTTATATATGTATATTTAGTTCAAGCTTGTGGATTATCTATGTACACAATTACTTCTGGTCCTCCAGATATTAGCAGCACTCAATTACTTCAAATCTTGAGGGTCTGAAAATTGTTATCTTTTACAGTTTTCTAGAAGTTGAAAGTAATAATATCAGGATGTATCAATCGACGTGGAAACGATATAAACTACGTCTGATTAACGTGACATTGTAACTTTATCGGTCGTGTTAGAGATCTCGGGAAAAAAAAACTCTTTGAGGTGGGACATTATTCCATATTCATAGTATTTAATTTTTTCCAATCGCTTTTGTATGCTGACGTGTGACGGTAATAACACAAATAGTTTTGTTTGCGAACAATGCAAATAAAATGGAGAATCAGGTTCCTGTGTGTGTGGACGATTGCGCGTATTCGTAAGCAGATCTGTGCAATTATGTACTGTTGAATCTAAGATTCCTTACATTTGCCAATGTTAAGATTTTATTTTACATATCCTAGTAAAATTGAAAAGGTTGTAAAATTAGCATTTTGAAAATTTACGTAATTTTTTGATAATTGTAATTTCTTTTGAACAGTTTATTCAGTCATTGTTACCGTAATTCCATGCGCATGAACGAATGTTCTAGATGATGATTCTTATAGTCTTTGTTGTACTATATTAAATTAACATACTTTCAATACACATTCACATGATTTACTATATACATGGTCGTGTACTCGTCCGCAATTACTATAGTAAATTTTAATAAATAGCTGCATATGTCTCGTAATCTTATTTATTATAGGAAAAATTGGTGATTAGTACTTTTTTTGAGCGTCTTAAATAAATTTGAAACTACAATATATGCAAATTACCGCCTTTGCGCCCTTGCGAAACCTGACCTGTAATCCCTCCCATTTATTATCCGAATATATTTTTATTCTATACAAATGTTTCTTTATCATTAGTAACTAATGGCGAACAAATGTGAATTAATTTCGTATAATGTTGTATTATGTAACTGGCCAGATTTATTAATGTTAATTTAATTATAGTTTTAACTTTTTCTTTAGTTTTGCTACTACAAAAAATAGTTAAAAATTAAAATTATCTTTTAATAGCATAAACAAGAATGCGGTGATTCTGTTCTATTTTTTATTTTTTTTTATAAAAATATGAAGGGGAAAGGAAATTAATAAAGAGAATAAATAATGAATAAAAAAAAATAAGATTAAAATAAATGGGAATAAAAATGCAATATTATAGAGTTTTCGCTATTTTTATGCGGATAAAATTAATAATTGAATAAGGTGAAGCAAGGCCTTAATAGTATTAAAAAATGATCTTGAGAGAGATTAGATTTGTAAATTTTGTAATTAACCGCGAAGTGTCAATACACGTTTCGTCCGATAGATAGAGGCACCGTCGTCTTGCTCGCGTCGAGGGTCAATGTTTTTAGCGACGTATTTAGTACCGTGCGAGTGGTCCGAGAGTCAGCCGACGAGATGCCGCAGAGGTTTCTGGGTATGCGGTAGGAGCCATATTTTTCCAATATCAGTTACGCGAAAACAGCGTAGCGTACGGCACAACATCTGGCAGGCACGGCATTTCGATCGGCTGTGTCGCGCGGTGTCCGTGTCGGCCGGCAGAGAGTGATCGCGCGCGTTGATTGTAGGACGGCATACGTAATTCGACGCACGAGTTGCCGTAGCGTCGCGCGCGACCGCCGATTGTCACGAAATATACAATCGAGCGACGTATGAACGCGTGAGCAAGTCGAAGTTCCGCAAGAAACGGAGTAACGCGCAGGTGTTCGGCTTGGCAAGAGGGTTAGTTAACTCGAGTTCGTAACCGCGCTAGTTAGTGGTGGTGGTGGTAGTAAGTAGTAGTGGTGGTACGAGGCAGTGGTATGGTGGTGGTGGTAAAAGAGTAGTGGTGGTGGTCGTGATGCTGCTGCTGCTGCTGTGACGATGACACAGCGTCATAACACGACGTTCGTCCGTCCGTGCGCGATTTAACCCGGATTGTCACGCCAGCGGCGTAAAGTGTTTTTTGTACGACGAGCGCGTTCGCGCCATATTACCGATCGAGCCTCGACGCCAGACGACTCGAGCCGAGCCGAAGTCCGGCGCGAACGTAGTCGTCAGTGTCGAGGGAGATGGCTCGTCGTCCGGCTGCGGTGTCGTGAGGCTCGCGAAAATCGCGTTGTGTGACGTTTCGTTTTTCTCTTTTAGTGCTCCCCGCATGATGACATAATCGAGTGTGCGTATTTGGTGCTTCGGAGTGTATTGCGACTCAATCGGAACGGAGTGTGGCCGTGAAGTAAAACGCGAGGCGGACCGTGACATTGACACGACCTACCAGGCGTGTTGACTCTCGTAAGGTGAGATATTTTTTTGTGTAAGCGAGCGTGTAGCCGCGCGTACAGTGCGTTTTTATACGAGCGCGGTCGTCGCGTCGTTTTGTCCGTCGTTCCGATTTGTAAATCTTTCGCTTCGGTTCAATCGCGACGCGATTCACGTCGTTGCCCGCGCAGAGTAACGTTGGCGCGTGTTTGCGGCATCGGGAATCTTCGCTCGTCGATTTCGCATTGCGACCGAGCCGCGAACGGGTGGCGCGGACTCGTCACCTTGAATCGCTCGAGCGAGACCTTGCGCGTATGCTCTCTCGCTGGGAGACGTAATTCCCCCCCGATAAACAAGCTGGCTCTCGCCTACGCGCGTCGGCTTCGCCGGCTATGAGAGTTTCAAGTGAACTTAGTAGCAGTCACCGCGACCTTGCTCGATGCCGCCTCGCGTACACCGATCACACCGCGCTGGAACGCAGTGAATATGCTACGTAACGATTCGCGACGTGTGCAACGTTCGTTTGCGTGGCAAAAACAGTCGGCGTGGAACGCCGAACCGTGAAACTGAGACTTCCGAGAGGAAGAGCCGGCGATAAGGTGAATCGTGCGTGCAGTTAAAAAACGTCAACCGGCCGGCCTCGATGGCGGCATCTCGAGTTTCAATCACGTTCGCATACGTCGACGTATCACGAGCTGCGACATTTTGATAAATGTGCATCCATTTTCGCAAGAAGAAAGGCAAGTGAAGTAAGCGAGCAAGAGCGAGAACGGGAAGAAGGAAAGCAAGGAGCGACCGATTCGCCGCCGGTCTCGCGGGAGAAACACATCGGAGGCGCGTTCCGCGCCATGCCCGGCGATCTCCGCCGCGTCAAGGAGGTTAGACGGCCATTGACCGGCGAGCAGCAGCAGCAGCAGCAGCGGCAGCGTGTACTACGCGCGCCAAACACGCGCCGGCTTTGAGTACGCACGGCGACCGCGACGAGGAGAACGATTTCCGTTTCTCGCCGCGTAAATATTGGCTTCCGAGGATCCGTTCGTGTTCGAGCCGCACAGTTTACATCGCGATACACATCGTCCCGCGCGATTAATGTATTATGTCGTGCTACGAGTGCCACGCGAGGAAACGCAACGGGAACAACGGCGAGCGCGCGACGATCCGAAGATCAGGAAGATTATCATCGAGCTCATGAGGATCGTGCACCGGCTCGCGGAGGATGCGGCAGTACTCGCCGCCGGTGTCCCCACGTAGGCGAGCTACGTGCTACGTCGTGCCAGTGATGTTGTCGTGGATGTCGAGGTCATCCGCAGCGCTGCTGGACCTGGACCATGGCCGGCAAGCCTGAGCAGCCGTCCACGCTTCCTGTTCCCCCGAGTCACGGCCATCAGCATCATCAACATCATCAACAGCATCCGCAACAGGCGCATCATCCGCAACAGCAGCAGCAGCAGCAGGCTATACAGCAGAACAGCGTTCTGGTGTACGTGTCGGGGGAGAACTTCGCGTACGCCACGGCGGTGGGTCAGAATGTCGCCGCGACCGCTGCTGCCGCTATCGCGGTCGGTTATCAGTCGCAGCCGCAGCAACAGCAACAGCAGCAGCAGACAACGCAGTACGGGATCCTGCAAGCACCGCAGGTGGCGACGGCGCAGGCGGCGACCTTTCCCGCCAAAACCGCCGTATACTGTTCCGACGGCAACGGGATCAACATAGGTAACACCACCACTTCCACGATCGGCTGTTGTCGCGTGAAGCACGAGACGACAGCGACGGCGAACATCAGTGCGGATGGCAGTGAGTCCAGGCAAGTTCCTTCTCTGGCAGGCAACGAGGACGAGGAGGACTACGCGATGCTGTATCGACAGGCCAACCTGGGGCAATCGACGACGGCGTGTACTACGGCGGCGACGACGACGACGATGATGACGCGTGTCGCGCCATCGCGCGACAACAATAAACGAGCGGAGAACGGCGACGCGATGGATGGCCTCGGCAACGATTCGATGGTATCCGGCGCGAAAACGTATCAAACGCGACTTCAGCATAACGATGCGTATTCCGCGAGGATAAACAGTGAGTACAACGCCGCGAGCAACAGAATCGTCGCGCATCCAAATCCCGGTGACGTCGGCCTTCTCGGCGACGACGGTTGTGTCACATACGGCACATCCACGTCCGCTGGCGGTAATAATTTGCTTCAAAATGTCGCCGGCGAGCAACAGGCCGTGACGAACATGGATGATAAAAGCCGGCAGCAGGACAGTTTCGATAATCAGCAGGGCGTCTCTTCGGCGCCAACGTCGGGCGCGACAATCGTCGGTGTTAGTGATAGTGCTGGTGTTACCGGCGGCGGCTGCGACTCAGTGAGGTCCGAGGAATCGTCCACGACGACCTACAGCAGCCTCAGCAGTCCTGACGAGGGTCACCAGCAGCCGAATCAGCACGACGGTAGTTTGTCGGCGAATAATCATCCTGGCGGCGGTAGTGCGTGCGCGCAGCAGGCTGCGCGACAGCAGCCATCGTCGCGTGTCAACGGTAATAACAATAACGGTGGTAACGGTGTGCAGCATAACGCGGTAGTGTTGACAATGAACGGCAGTGCAGTGATTACGCAGCAGCAGCAACAACAACAACAATCGGTGATCACCGTACCACGTGGATGGAAGAGGATCTGCACCAACGGGGTCATCATTTATATCAGGTGAGTGTTTAATGCATCATGTTGTTATTCGCGATCAGTGGCTTCCGATCTGCCTCGAGTACGATCTCAAATATTCTGAAAGAAAAAGGGAAACTTGACTCTTGGCTTATGGGTGACATGATCGATAAATTTTATTACATGTAAATTTATATACTTAGACTATATAGAATAATTAATAGAATATTTTTTAAATCGATATATTTCAAATTGAAACAATCAAACTTTTTCTATAACTTTGATGCTTTTTAATATCTTTTGTTTAATTTATACTTGTAATATTTCTAATTTTGTTAATATTTATTGTAATTCAATTTTAATGGAGATTGGCAACCACTGGTCTAATGTTTGCGTAATATACGCTCGAAACGTGGCGTCGATTTCTCGGAACGAGAAATTCCTCTACGCCCGCACGACGCCCGGCGCGTTCCTGTTTCTCTCGTTCATGAAAATGACTCGAACGTATGTAGTTAATTCCCAAGCGATCCGTATTAGCGAGCGCTTTTAATTCGTTGGCTTAACAGAGTGGCTCGAAGCATCGACCCGAAATTAAAGCGCGCATGGTGCGCAGTCTTAATTTTGCTAATGGAATTAAACTGCATCCAGTTTAAGTATACTAACAAACGCGATATATCACTGATGAAAGGCAAGCACAGTGAGACTGGTATAATTAGTGGTGCGGAAATTATAGTTTATTATTAAAATTTTAAAAAGAATTAGTTTTATATACGCATAATTGGATCGGCAATGTAAAACGCTGCGCTTTGAAGCCAATTTATTCGGAACCATTATTTGATAGACTCATTTTACTTTATATTTGCATTAATACTGTTCAATTTAGCCGAGTTCCTATTTTGATGTCACAGTCACGCGAATATTTGATTTTTCTATTTATTCACACAACGACGTAACGTAAACGTGACGTAAACTCCTTCGTTATAAAATCTTCGTCCAACGATATTTAGTTTATGAAAGATTAGAAACTACATAATTGACACTAAAAAATTATATAAAGTAAAAATAGATATAAAAACCTAAATTATTAAACGCTTCATACGAAAGTAGAAAATATTTGACGAATTTATAAATAATTTTTAAATAATATTTCCTCCTCTTGCGTGCATTATATTTTTTAAACAATAATTATTATTTTTGCATGAGTAAAATCCAATGTATTCTTGCAAATTTGCCTGGCATAACTTTTACGATTATTAAGATAAAATATTTCTTTCATGAACTAAGCACTTGTACACGCGACATGTATTGCCATCAGTGCGTTGCATAACTCTATTACTCGTCGGAGCACGTGCAAACGAATGGAAGGTTAAAGCTCGCAGTCGGATCCGCTGTCGCCGGACGTTTCGAATAGCAATCGGACTATTCCGGCGACCAGTTGGCTGCTAACAGCAGTTACTTCTCAGCCAATTCCTTTTTTGAGTTTCCACACGATTCTGGCGTAACTCGCTGTCGACTTGTGCAATGACAGCTGATCGACACGCGGACTCTGTAACGTTATCCTAGTACGATCATGATCCGTGTTACGATAGGACCCAATAGAAATTGAGTTAAATTTTTTATGTGACCACATCAAGATTTTAAAACTAACATATAAGCAGAATAAATCTTGAACGAAAGGCTTATGCAATAAATATATATTTATTGGATTCAGCCATAAATAAATTCTTTCCAGTATTTTTCTTCTTTGACTTTATACTGCGGTGGAAGTCATTTATGACGCAACTCAATATTTTTATCTTTGTATAGACTGTAAAATTATTGTTATGTGTCATACATTTTAAAGAGTAAAAAATACTTTTATATATTTTCCAAGTATTTTCTAAAATATATAGACTTATCGATTGATTTTCAAAAACATGTGGCGTTTAATTGAGACAGTCGATTGATGAGGCGTAAAATGCAACGTCACGTTATTGAAGTAATATAAATAGTTATAATGTGTGACAGCAAACTGCGGCTGGCCTGCGCGCTTCGAATCAATTTAGGAAAAGGAAAAAGGGGGGTCGCGTAGCAGGGGACTAGATCGCACTGGCGGATAAAAATTAAGGTTACCGGCACGCGTGGTCGCGAGTGCCGCACGGGATGATTGATACCGGATAGAAGGGACGAGAGGTCGGCTGGATCCTAGGTTTTAGGGAGGCAGAGGGGGGTGGTGAACAGAACAGAATGAGCGATAGTTGCGCAACCACACCTCCACCGCCGCCGAGCGGCGATTACGCAAACGTGATAATTAATTGCCAGTGTTCTCTGTTTAATGACTCGTCAAGTCGTTCGCTAAACACGCCAAATTGCCGCGACGTCACGAAAATCGCTATACAGGTGCATCGTTGCGTGTCGAAACTGTTAATCCAACGCGACGGCGCGCAGCTTGCGTAACCGTGGAGCTCTTTTTCTCATCGTCGCGATGTTTTCTCGATCGCCTTCTCGTGATTCTTTAAAATTTATTTCAGGTTACAGTAAATGCAGTAATAAGAATTTAAAAGTATAGTTTGCAAGCTTAAATGGCTAAAATTGATTTTGGTATTAATTATTCTCGTATATCTCTGTTCAAATTTTCTTGATGGTAAACTCGACCGAAATTCATCAAAGAGTTTGCTCTCGATATTCGACAAAGCTCGTGAAACGCACCGCATAAACGGACTTCAAAGAGCTCGACTGCATTTGATCACGTATAACATCGGTTAATATAACAGTTATGTTACCACTTATGGAACCAACAATGTTCAGAGCTCTGACGAGCGCAATGCTGCGCAGTATTTTTAATATTGACCAGTGATTCGATATTTTCTCTGACATTTCCAATTTTTGCTGTAAAATCACTCAATCAATCTTCCGGAATTTTGATAGCGTGCGTTGATAAATGGAAATGACAATCGCGGCCAGATTTATATAGCAGAGGGACACGCGTTCTCAAGGAATCTATTGTATCGCGCAAATAAACCAGCAGATTCGAGCTATATTGAGAACAATAGAAGATAGAATCGATTACATATGGTACAATTTTTTTTTAGAGGATTTCTCTTAGCGTTTTGGTTACCGTCGAAATTGCCTCGAGACGAAGTAGGTTCTTTGGAGAAGGGCGCTCTAAAAGGGCGGCCCGTCAAACAGGATGCGGAGGAAACCAGAAACAGCGGCCGATCCGTGTTTTTCTTCATCGTGAACGCCAGGTTACGTCTCTCCCACTCTATCCTGACTGTTCTGCCTTCTCTCGTTTCTCTATCTCTATCGGTCTTTCATCTTCTTCGTCTCGGTTCTTCTCTCTTCTGTCCTTCTCGGCTAGATTCCACGACTTTGTTTCGCTCTTCGCGGATATATCGGAGGAGGGGGACTCTGGCAGAGGTCGGTCGGTCGTACCGATGGAAATTCCCGCGACTCGCGATTTCAGTACAATCCGCCAACCGTCTGTCCGTGCACGGGACAGAATTCAATTCGAACTAGTCTGATTTCGGCCCGATTATCCGATATTGAGGGCTCCTTTTCGCTAAATAACCGTGGGCATCGAATCGTTTCGCTTTGTTCAGCGCTCGTTTCCATTATATCGCGTAGACAAATGCGTTGAAACCAGCAGGTTCCAACTATGTTGAGAACAATGTAGAATAGAGTCGATTACATATGTCAGAAATTTTGGAGGAGCCCTTTAGTTCTTTGTTCCAAAATATAAAACACTTCAATGAGAACGATTGTAAAGCGTACGTAAAACATTTATGTAATGTGGCGTTGCGTAAGGATTATTATAACGTAAAAAATTCTAAACATGATAATTTACCTGTCAAGATCGTTTATCGCCATAGGTGTCTGCGTGCGATTTCTAATATTTTAACAAACACAATATGACATTAGCAAGTGCGATACTCAGAAATCGGAAATTGCCAATTAGGCACCTATGGCACTTAGCCACTTAACTTACGTCGGTGTGGAATGCCGGTGATATTCTTGTCGCGAGAAATTAGCTCCCATCTAGCCTGGAATAACCACTTCTGATTGAGATATTAATAAAGTTAAGTACAGTAATCATTTTGACGCGCTCGCAGCGCGCGGGCAATTGGAGATTCCTCGCGATTTAAATTCAACGCAATCGTCAATCGCGGCGTGACCGCCGCGAATAACGAACAGTCGCCGACCGGCATGGTATTTTCGTCGAGGCCTTGGATCACTTTCAACGCATTCGGTATTGAGTAATGTACTAATTATAGTTTTCACTTGTTCCGAAACTCTGGCAGAAATCGACAGTCGGCGTTCACGCCCGCCGCGGAGCCGGGATTAAATTCATCCGTAAATTATTTTATTTCTGCGCAATCATTGGAAATTTAATGAGATTGATTCTTCTTTTTTTAGATCAATAGTATTATTCCATTTCATATTAGCGATAGTATTTATTAACATCGTAATTGCTTATCGCTCATTATATTTATAGCGGCACATTGATACCGCTCTTGGATCGCGCTTGCTATAAATATAGAAAATCACGTAACTTTGTGATTATTTTAATCGCAATCGGCATTTATGCTAATTAAAGGTCAGATATTAACACATTTCAGAATACCGCAGCACACTTAATCGCGCATCTCAGTTTCATATATGGCGTTGTTCCGTTTTTTTTCTGTCTACCTCAAATGACAGTCTTTCCCACGTGTCGACGGACATCTTTTTCAGATGCTTCTTATATCTCTTTTTGGTTTCCTGTCGTTGAGGATCTACGCGAAGAACACACGCGGAACATAATTTATTGCGGTGCTGATTGTACGCAGTACGGCGCCGCGTGGCGTGTTTCCGAACCGATAGCATCGGGAATACGCACCTGGTTGTGTTTGAAGTATATGTACCATGTAGCGTCTCGTGGCGATTAAACAAAGACACACACTGTATGCGCTGTCGTGATAAGCCTTCGTTAAACATTTGAAAAATCTGCGTTTGCTCGCGATTACTCGTGAAAATATTTCCCGCGCAGCATTATTATTCCGTTAAACTTTTATACGTTACCAGCG